CGGCCCAAAGTTCCAGACACTCCCACAGTCCTCCCCAACATACCAAGGTCAGATCTATCACAGCAATACCCGAGTTCTGGTACCACAATCTGTATTAGTTAGGGTTCTCCAAAGAAACAGAACCAGTAGAATGAATTTATATATGTGTGTGTGTGTGTGTGTATGTGTGTGTGTGTGTGCGTGTGTGTATGTATGTATAGAGATTTATCAGCTTAGCTCACAGGATAGAGTCTGAGTAGTCCAACAATGGCTGCACCACACTGGAGAGGCTGAGAATCTGTAGTCGCTCAGTCCACAAGGCTGGATGTCTTAGTAGTCCCAATCTGGCACTGAAGGTCTGACAAATTCCAAAAGATCAGCTAGTCTTGAGTCTACAGGAGCAAGACGAACTCACCAGCAAGAGAGAAGGCAAGCAGGAAGCTTGGTGTTCTCCTCTGCCTTGGTCTTTTACACCGGTTGCCATCAGAAGGTAATGCCCACATTTAGGGTGTGTCTTCCAGCTTTAGATGATCCAATCAAGAAGATCTCTTTCATTTCAGTTTATCCCAGATCCAATCAAGTTGACACCCAGGATTAGCCATCACAGTTGGTATTGGTCAGAGTGTTTTGTTACAGCCATGGAGAAACAAACTAGGGCAGAAATTGGTACCAGAGGGTTGGGCATTGCTGTGACAGACCTGACCTTGGTGTTTTTAGGATTATGGAAGTGTTAGGAACTTTGGGTTGGAAAAGCCATTGTGTGCTCAGAGTTTGCTGCTGTGGAGCTTGGAACAGTTATGCTGAAAGAGCTGTGGGTTCTGATTAGCTGGGGCTGCAAGATCAGCTGTAAGTAACAAGAGACCAGCACCACTGTGGTGAAGTCTTCTGGGAAGTACTTCCTCAGGGTCGGTGCACAGAAGCTGTGGTACAGAGGGGACCTGAGCCTCCATCTCAAGCTGGAAGCAGGACTTGGTAATGTGTAAGTCTCCTGCATGGTTCTAGTGTTAAAAGCGTGAAGGGGTCACAGAGAGTAGCTGAGGCTTGGCACCCTGAGAGTCCAGGAAAAGCCACGGTGAAACTGCAGCCTCAGTTGCAGTGAAGACCTCGGGACTGAAGGGGTCATGGAGAGAATCTGAGGTTTTGCAGCCCAAGAAGCAAGAAGAGGCCATTGGTGAAGGTGTAGCCTCAGTTTCAGTGGAGACCCCAGCTTTTTGGAGATGCCAGGACCGTGGGATGACCACCAAGGGCAGCAGCAGGTGTGGAATGGAGCCAGCCTGGGTCTTCGAGACAAGATGTGTGTGCTGTGGATGGCAGAGTCAGAGTAGTGGAGCTGCCAGAACCCTTTGGAGCCCAGAAGATCATGAGTAAATCCCAGATGTCCAGCCTTGAGCTACTTTGCTGGACTTTGGTTTTGCTTAGGTGTACCCGATTCTTCCCTTTGAAATAAGACAGTACTTGTTTTGGATTTTACAGAAGCCCACAGTTAAGAGATTTTTAAAAGAGACTATGGACTTTTAAGTGTTTGGGTTCTTTTAAGGACTGTGGGGTTTTTAAGGATGTACTGTCTCATGTTGTGCTATTAATGTTAACATCATATCTTGGGGACAAGAAATGGAAAGGCTGTGGTTTAAGAGTGATGTGTTTGTATGTCAAGTTTGACAAGGAGTCAGTTGTGCTGGATAGCTTTAGTGTCAACTTGACAAACCTGGGTTGAGGGATCCTCAATTGGGGCTACTGCTTCCATTAGACTGGCCTGTGGCCATGTCTGTGGGGGAATTTTCTTGATTGTTTAGTGATGTGGGAGGGCTCAGCCCACTGTGGGTAGTGCCATTCCTGGGCAGATGGACCTATGTTGCATAAGAAAGCAGGCTGAGCAGGGGCCAGGGAGCAAGCCAGTAAGCAGTGTTTCTCCATGGCCTGTGCTCTAGCTTCTGCCACCAGGTTCCTGCCCTGAGTTCCTACCTTGGGCTCCCTGATGAACTGTGACCCAGGAGATGTAAGCCGAATAAAGCCTTTCCTCCTCAAGATGGTACTGGTCAGAGTGTTTTGTTACAGCAATGGAGAAACAAACTAGGGCAGGGGGGAAGGAGGAAAAGGAGCTTAAGAGAGGGGGATAGTAGGAGACAGATATGTATGTATACATAGACATACATACATTCATACATGCATACATACATACAGTGGAATATTATTTGGCCGTAGAGAAGAATGAAAACCTGTTGTTTCCAGCAAAACAGATAGAACTGGAAGGTATTATGTTAAGAGAAATAAGTCAGACATAGTAAAAGAAATACCAAACATTCTTTCTTGTATGTGAAAGGTAAAAAAGTCCGAATATAAAATAATGATGATTAACGACTGGGAAGGGTGTTTGTGGAAGAGGACAAAGGACATAAAGAGGAGTTGGATTGTATCAGGTGTGTTGTATGCAGATGTAGAAGTAGCACATTATATCTACCAACATATAATAAACATGTGTTAATAAAAAATGGAAATATTTTAAGTTCCCACAATGACAACTGAGGATTAGAAATAGTGATAACTGCAGAGAGAAAGTTTGGTCAAAATAAGAGAAGCCAAGGTAGAAAAGAGACTGAGGAAGATGGGAAAGAAGTTCCCAATAAGAGATGTAGTGTATGGAGTAACTCTGAGTTACATGTGGCTCCTGGTATGATCTTGTGTGGGGGAGTAGAGAGTAGAATAAAGGACAACGGCGTATACAGTTACGTGACATGAAGGGCAAGCTGTTAACCTTGAATCCTATCTTGGAAGTGGCAGCATGACACAAAATGATCTAAAACAATAAAAGTGCAATAGAAGGCTACAGCAGGAGGATTGCTATGAGTTTGTGGTTAAGTTCAAGGTTAGCCTGGGATATCTAATAAAACCCAGTCCCCAAAACAAATACAGTAACAACAAAAAGTGCTGTATTGGGTTAGAGAGATGGCTCAGTATGTAAAGGTGCTTGCTGCCAAACCCCAATGTAATTATTTTGTGTGTAAACACACATGGTGTGTGTCAAGATGGCTCAGCAGGTGAAGGCACTTTCATCAAGCCTGATGACCTGAGTTTCATCCTCCAGGCCTACATCCAGCACGTTGTTCTCTGACCTCTATATGTGCATGGTGTCTCACACACATGTGTCTCCCCGCCCTACCACCAAATAAATGTGATAAGTGTGTTTTTTCAAAGATTGAGATGCCAGGCGTGGTGGTGCATGGTTTTAATCCCAGCACTTCAGAGACACAGGCAGGTGGATCTCTGAGTTTGAGGCCAGACTGGACAATCATTCCAAGGCAGCCAGGTCTTCATAGTGAGACCCTGTCAGGAAAAAAAAAACCTGGATGTCTGCTTGAAAATAACTTGTTATAAAAATAATCTGGCTGCACAAAATAAAATGTTTGGGAAGCACAATGAGCCAAATAGAAATCAGTAATGTATTGGCATTACTTATAAAAACAAATGTGACACTAAGGAACATACAAGAAGCATAAACGGTCTTTCTTCTAACAAAGATGTACTGGATGTCAAGGATCACACAATATGACTATCTTGAACTGTGCATTTTAAGTCAGTAAGAAACAGAAGATTAAACAAGAAAGTTATCAGGCTGAGTAAGGAAGGGGCAATAAAAGAATGATTTTGGGTTCACTGGGATGGCTCAGAAGATGGAGGTGCTTGCTATACATGACCTAAGTTCAATCACTGGAACCATGTAAAGGTAGAGAGAACTGAGTCCACAAAGTTGTCCTGTGACCTCTACATGTGCACTATGGCATGTGTACCACAGCATCTGTGCATCTGCACTCACACATACATATCATGCACATACAGACTTGTATAAAAATGATAAAAGTTTTAAAAAGAAAGATACTAATTTTTTAATATAGACAGAAAGGTGGATCATAAAGGCCTTAAAATATGAAATTATTAACAAATAGCTACTGTATTATTCTGTGATTAAAGGCTAAAGGCGTGCACCACCACATCCAGCTAGCTTTTCCTTTATAATATGTCCCTGTCCTATGGTTTGAACTAAACTATAAGCCTTAACAATCATGCATGCCAATTCCTAGCATGTAATTTCTTCATATACACTATACAAATTTTTTCCTTTGATGTAACCCTGACTGATGCATACATTTCAGATGAAATTTATAGGCTATAGATATAGAAAAATTCTAAGTCCTTAAGAATGTTATTTATTCTTTACTTATATTTCAAACCTATGTAGTTAAATAACTTTTCTTCATCTCACTTAGCAACCACTGAGAAATTTCTAGTTAATTAATATCAACCAAAAGAGGACACACTGCCACTTATAATCTTCATTTCTAAAGTCTTCTGATAGTTCCAAAGAAAAAAATTCAATGTGTTTAAGTTACTGGCTTCTTTCTTTTAAAGATATTTTTCTTAGACTTTTAAAAAAATAAATCGTTTTCAAATTTTAATGAAATGTCATTTATTTTTGAGATTTAATATTTCATCTTGATGAGTTAGCAGGTAAGTATCAACTACAATTTGGAATGAGCTACAGAAAACAGTGAAAGTCTGGTTTCTGCACTAACCTAACAAGTGAAAGCTTAATGTAAGGAAACAGACCAGCCAGGTATGGTGGTACATGCCTTTAATCCCAGCACTTGAGAGGCAGAGACCAGTGGATCTTTGTGAGATCGAGGCAGCCTGGTTTATATAGCTAGTTCCAAGCCAGCTGGGGCTATATAGTGAGGCCTGGTCTCCAAAAAAGATAAAAAGAAAAAAGGAAAGGAAGAAAAGAAAGGGAAGGAAAGAAAGAAAACAGACCACATGTCACAACTCCAGGTACAAAGGAAGTACGTGGCCAAGCAAGGGAGAAGCAATGACAAGTAACAAGGTATCTGCACAGCAAGAGAGAATAAAAGGCAAAGTGTGGCTCCCAAATCAAAATTCTTTGAGGAGACAAGTAAATGCAGTAAAACGAAATCATTTGGTATTATATCATTGAGAAAAATGTGCTGTTCACTAAGGAGACTGTTGAATGGAAACCAAATTTTCAGATTAGATACAACCAAATATTTGAGATGCTTTTGAACAAACCAACTTTCACATAAACACTTATTCACTTGTTCAGTTATTTACTCCTATGCACATAAATTTTCAGGGCCCTGAACATTGCTAATATAAACAAGAAATCAAATTCTCTAGGCTTTTAATAGTCATTGATATTTTTATTCCTAGAAGCCAAGGTTATAATATATGAATCTTTTACCATTCCTTCCTGAATAAATCAGAATCAGATTTAGCTCCTACATACTCCATTAGCCAGAAGCTTTATTATACAGTGTGAAAATGGCAAAACTCAAGATAAGATTGGTGTGATGCCCCACGCCTTTAATCTCAATGCTCATGAAGCAGAGGCATGTAGATCTCTGTGAGTTTGAGGCCACCCTGGTCTACATAGTGAGATCCTGTCTAAAAAAGCAAACAACAACAACAACAACAAAAACCCAAAACAAAAACAAACCTAAGAATTCATACAGTGGCCCCGACTGTGGGTCTCTTAATCAGTAAATATGGAACAACACTGGGTACTAGTCAAATCTCTCTCTCCCTTTAGGAACTTCAAATAAATAAATAAATAAATAAATAAATAAATAAATAAATAAATAGTGGCATACTCTGATTCCCTTTAGGGAGAAAGGATATAGTATAAGATATGAAGCTACTAATACTGATGACCTTACGTTTCTTCTATGAATTTGTAAACTTCTAGGTGAAAGCAAAGAAGATCCATGAACTTCAGTGACTCTTATAATGACAGATATTACAGACTATACTTAAAAAAAATTATTATTTTTATTTTATGTGTATGTGTGTATTGCCTGCATGTAGGTAAGTGCACCATGTTGTGCAATGCCGGCGAAGGACAGAAGAGGCTGTGGGATGGCCTGGAATTGGAGTTACAGGACAGTTGTTAGTTGCCATGTGGGTGCTGGGAATTGAACCCAGGTCTTCTACAAGAACAGTCAGTGTTCTTAACTACTGAACCATCTCTCCAGCACCTAGACTATACTTTTGAATCATTTCTATAATTCATTATGAAAAATATTTACCCAAACATGGAAAATTGATCTGTGCAAGCTTCTACTGGTATAGGAAGGTAAGGACATGGAGCGTTATCTGCTAGCTTAGGACATTCTTACTATAGGGGTCCGAGACTTTTACTGCCTCGAAGCTAGCTTTCTTTCAGTTCTTCCCTCCAAATTTATTCCCAATGGAAAGATGCTTAATAACACAAGATGATTTCATCCATGTTTGTACTTGAAAGATTAAGCCAGGCCAAATAATGGTAGACATTCACTAATAATATTTACTAAATCAACCAGTCAAAGACAACTTTACACAATAAAAAAAAAAGTTACAACAAAATAACTTGACATATATCTCAACATCTGTATGTATACTTACATATATGTATATATTAATTTGTACCTATACATACACAAGAAAGAATATGAAAACAAAATATTTTAATTATCTACTAGATAACTACCACTTTCTTTCCCATGCCTCTCACTAATTTTCTAAAAAAACCTAAATAGCAAGGCACTAGCTATATGGTAGAGCTTCAAAATATTAAGGGACCAAACATTTGCATAATGTTGATACTGTATTATTATAGCCTTACAGTAAGTTTAAAAATTTTTCAACAATTAGCAAAATTCATTATTGTATGTTTTAAGATCCCATCTTATTTTCCTTTATGTGGCTTTGTTCTGTGCCTAATTTCCTTATCTGTAAAATAAAACTATAATAGTTCCTATCTCATAGTAATAAGGATTTTTTAATTGAACAGTGTGAAATGCACTATTGCCTGATACATAATAAATACTCATATAAGAATCACCATTACAAAAAAGAAAATTCAGCTGGGCGTGGTGGCACATGCCTTTAGTCCCAGCACTCAGGAGGCAGAGGCAGGCAGGGCTCTGTGAGTTCAATGCCAGCCTGGTCTACATAGCAAATGCCAGGCCAGCTGGGGCTACAGGGAGACCCTGTCTCAAAAAGATTAAAAAAAAAAAAAAAATGTACTCAAAGAAAACAGAACACAAATATTCTCAGAGCAAATACTATTAAGAGAAAAAAAAAAATCTAGCCAGTTTCAATATAGGCTAGCTTTCTTTTCAGGATAACAATAAAGGAAGAGTTGAAACAGAAGAAATGGCTATCTTATAGGACAAAGCAGCTACATATCAGCCAGTACAAGGAGTTAAATTCCATGTATTTTTATATCTCAAATTATTTTATGCTATAAAAAGTAAATATATTTCACTAAAATGCATTTAAAATAATGTGAAGACATGGAACTTCAGGCTATAATTAAGCTTCCAAAATAATTCTAAAATGAACTTAATTATATTACTAAAAAGGCAATAGATCCTTTGGTGTAAAACATTGGCTTTTTAATCAACTACTTCAGTTTTTTAAATGTAATCCTATACAAAAGAATAAAAAAGCAACAACAGAAAATGTAATGATGCCCTTTTAATTTTAAAAGCCAATCAAATTTATTTTCAACATAAAAAGCAAGCTCCAGGACAGCTTCGGGACTACAGGGAGACCCTGTCTCAAAAACACCAAAAATAAAAAATAAAAAACAAAACAAAACAGCAAGCTCATGCCTGCATACATGCTGACTTTTCTGTATACTCAATGCATATTTGAAACTGATTCTGGAAATCAAGTATAGAACACAAAATACAAAAGAAAGACAAAAACTTACCATGTTTTCCCCTAGAAATATCCACATACTGGCACAGTCTGGGATGGGTGATGGTCTTAAGGATTTGAAAGCGTCCTAAAATTTTGATGGAATTTGGTGTGAGAGGAAGTCCATTGCTTCCACAAACATCATGTGGAAGAGCAGAAGCAAAGAATGTAAAGGCGCCCATTTCAGCATCCTTCAAAGGAAACATTTTTGAGCCCTTGGTCTTCCAAGATGATCTGGAAAAGGAGAGAACTTTATGACAGAGTTATTAAACCAGTATCTTCCCATCTTAAAATATATACAACTTGGGGGCTGGAAAGATGGCTCAGCACTAAGAGCATCAGCTGCTCTTGTAGAAGACCTGGGTTTGGTTCCCAGCATCCATATGGTAACTAACAACTGCCTGTAATGCCAATTCCAGGGGATATGACACCCTCTTCTGACCTCAGTGGGTACTGCATTTCATGGATGCACTTAATGCATGCAGGCAATACACTCATACCATATTATATATATAAAATCGGAGAAACATGCCAATCTGAACAGAATAGTACCTTATAACTTTCAAGATTATATTATCAAAGGAAAAAACCACATAAGCATAAACTTAAGTTGCAGCTCAAAATTAAATTATTTTCAGTAGCATAAGAAAGGGAAAAGTTAGACTATTTCATCTTCAAACTCAATGATATCTGTAATTAGGAGGGGTGACTTGGTTTTGGTTTCTTTTGGGGGCGGGTGTGCTTTTCAGGCATGGGTTCTCATATAGCTCAGGCTGGCCTTACCTCATTATCTTTGAATTCCTGACCCTCCTGCCTCCATCTCCCAAGGGCTTATAGACATGTGTCACCATGCAAGGTCACATCTATAACTTTCAAGTGCAAAGAAAATTCAGTACTGCACTTTCATATTAATAAAACTCTTTACCTAACATTTGAATAACCTACTAATCTACTAGCTGATGAATTATTTCAGGAAATTTCTATAAAGCAAAATGTCCACAGAAGAGTACTACTACAAAAACAGAAGGAAGCTGTACAACCCATAATAGATAAAGGCTAGCTGGGCCTCTTCAGATTCAAGGCTTCAGCATCAGAGAAACAGACAAGGTAAGCAGCAATCAGAAGGAAGTTTGAAGTTAGAAGGATGATCTGAAATGCTTAAGTATTAAAAGAGCCCATTTTGCCAACAGCTCCCCAATACTTAGATTTGAGAAAGTACTGCAGTAATTCCATGCAGAAATTCCTGCACACAAGGGAATTCAGATAAAAAAGATCAATACCTAATATACCCAAATTAGAAACAAAAGTCCAGAAACTGGTAAATGGTAAATTGATCATTTGGTACATCTTGATGAAAAAGTCTACAGAATGGAAAACAAGCCATAGCAGGATTTATGAGGACAGATGAAACATAATGTTGAATGAAGAAAACCACACAGAAATTATGCCAGCATTCAGAAGGTTAAAAAGTAGAAAAAGCCAAGAAATAATTGTGACAATACACACACACATACAG